TCCTTTAAAACCTAACGGCAGGTAGAAAGGCTATGTTATGTCAAGGAGTGTGAAACCGGTTCGTTTTTGTTTCCCGCTCTATGAATGTACGCCTGTAATTACAGCTTTTTGTCACCATAGGTTGTTCATGTGTATTGATTAAACCAGTAAATCATAAACTGCATTTTCTAAAAATAAAAGATATTAAGAGAGGCATTCATTAATGCTATCAGCTTCTCTATAACAATTAGAAGATGTGGTATGATTGCAATTGAGTCATTTCTCCACCAGAGCCAAATAAAATTTAAGTTTACATCTATAGGTCAGTGTACGGCCTTCAACACTGAATAAAACCATTACCGCATAGTAAACTATAAAAGACCACGAAATTACCAGTGTAAAATAGTTCAGACGAAAACACTTACGGCAATAATCGTATTATTTGTGTTTTGTTTCTATCTTTCTGTGAATGAATTTCGTTTGTGATACGTTATTTCTGAATTTACCAAACGCTTAGCTACTGTATATTCGTTTATAGCATGAACACAAAAGCGTGATTGTGCAACCAATCATCAATTATCATTATTACATGTAACAACAACATTGTCAGAACAATAACCTAGGATATAATTGCATCCTGTCAGTGTGAATGAAAATTAAAAGTTGAAATTGGACGTTAAAAGTTGTTTGTTTGTGATACGCTAGAATGTTTGAAATATAAAACATGAAACTTTACAGTTCAGTGTACAATGTATCACAAACTTGAAAATAATTTCTGAATTAAAAAAGTGTGCAAAATACGTCCATTCTAATTCAAATGAAATGCCAATTGGCCAAAAGCAAACCACCGAATAAAATAAAAAAGAAAGAAAAAAAGAACATGATTTATGTAATGGATGAAAAATAAATAGAAAATCAATATTTAAATGATTACATTGTATGTTCTTAGCTAATAAAAGAATCCTGCTTTAGGTAAATCTCCAACAATATGTGAAAAAAGTAATGCCATTTAATGAAATGTAATGCATGAAATTACACAACTTTTTGCTAAAGTAATGCATTAAATTACAATTACATGTAATGCAAAAATTTCTGCATTACACATTACATGTAATAACTTGGAAAAATGTAAGGCATTACCATGCATTACAATTACACATTTGCATTACCCCATACCTGATCTGAAGTGACGTTTTAGATTTCAACGTACGTATCCTTGTATCGCTGGTTAATTATTAAGTGAGGAATTTCGTTACCACAAATTACTTAAAATATTTTCTAAACTGTTTCTTGGATACAAAGCTTTGGTTTTGGGAGTTGTAGCTGTATCTGTTGGGCTGTATCTGTGGCGGTTTATAACAAACGGGATATCACAACTTATTTTGTACGGTAGATCAGTATATTAAGATACGAATCGTGTAAACCTATAAATCGATATATTCTAAAATGCTTACCCTTCCGGAGCACCTGAGATCACCCCCAGTTTTAGGTGGGGTTCGTGTTGCTTAGTCTTTAATTTTCCATGTTGTGTCTTCTGTACTATTTGTTTGTTTGTCTTTTTATTTTTAGCCATGGCGTTGTCAGTTTATTTTCAATCTATGAGTTTGACTGTCCCTCTGGTATCTTTCGTCCCTCTTTTACCAATATAACACTGAAATAAGTCTTCAAATATTGGGGTTTTTTTTGGTATAAACATTGATATTGGTATAAAAAAAAAACATTAATACATATTATTGATATACAGCTATAAACATTCACGGTCCTAAATTTTGTCAATATCTATATAATGAAATTGCACATGATCGTGTTTTTTTTTCTGACTGCTTATGACGTCTTTACACTAAATCCATTGGTTGTGATCCTATTGATATTGTAGTATTATGATTTTGTCCTAAGTTGTAATTGGCTCTGAACTTTCAGTTACTGCGAGGACTCTCAGATCTGTACTTTGTGTCTATAGTGGTTGTGTTAGCTGACTTTTGCTTTGTATCGATTATACGAGTCGAGTTTTTCTAACTATAATTAGTTGTTATGTTTAGCAATTACATCACGGTCACACGTAAGGGGAGGGTTCGACGTCCGTAAAACATGTTTAACCCCGCCACATTCTGTATGTATGTGCCTGTCCCATGTCAGGAGCCTGTTATTCAGTGGTTGACGTTTGTTGCAGTGTTAAATATTTGTTTTTCGTTCATTTTTTATACATTAATTAGGCCGTTAGTTTTCTCGTTTGAATTGTTTTACATTTGGGATTTCGGTGCCTTTTATAGCTTACTATGCGGTATGGGTTTGTTCATTGTTGAAGGCCGTATGGAGACATTTAATGTTAATTTCTGTGTCATTCGGCTGTTTTTTAAGTTGTCTCATTAGCAATCATACCACATCTTCTTTTTTATATTTACCCCCCATATTATGTTTGTTCCTGTCCTATGTAAAGAGCCTGTGATTAGTATTGATTAATTTTGATGTTATATGCCATATTTATCTATTTTTTTTTATATTTTGTAAATAATCAGGCTGTGAGTTTTCTCGTTTGAATTGTTTCACATTTGTCATAGATATAGGAAGATGTGGTATGAGTGCCAATAAGACAACTCTCCATCCAAGAAACAATTTATAAAAGTAAAGCATTATAGGTCAAGGTACGGCCTTCAACACGGAGCCTTGGCTCACACCGAACAGCAAGCTATAAAGGGCCCCAAAAATTACTAGTGTAAAGCCATTCAAACGGGAAAACCAACGGTCTAATCCATATAAAAACGAGAAACGAGAAACACTTATGAACCACATAAACAGACGACAACCACTGAACATCAGATTCCTGACTTAGGACAGGTGCAAACAATTGCAGCGGGATTAAACGTTTTAATGGTACCAAACCTTCTCCCTTTTCTGAAACAATAGTATAACATCACAACATAGAAAGACACACTATAAAATATCAATTGGAAGGCTTAATTCAATCAAAAAACGTAGTAACACAAATTAACACACAATGAACAAATAAATTCGATCTGTGATACAATGCAAATACAGTTAATAAAAATAAGGGATGAATAATTAAGCTAAAAAGTAAATAAATAGGTTTAAACTAAGGTTAAAGTATAAAACCGCCTACAAATGTTATTTTTTTTTAGAAAAAATATCAACTTTGATAAAAAAAAAAAAACACGTCATATTATATACAGGTAAATGAAAAAAAATGAAAAAAAATTTGTTGTTAAGTATACTTCTTCTGTGTGTATAATATTCCCTTTAGGAATACCAAGATATTTCTTTATTATCAATAATACTAATCTAAAACTTGGTACATATGGGGTGAATATCAACAATAAAACTATACAATTGGTGTTCTTCGTGTATAGGTGCCAGAACAGTATTTAAGGAGAAATGAAATAGTTTTTATGTTTATAGTACGAAGAAGTGAAAATCCGTAGTAATTCCAAACAATCAAAGCTGGTATATAGACAAGATCCACGTTAACATTAAATAACAAAAAAAGCATTACAAATAGTATCAACAGGTCAAGTCAATGTCGGGATCATATATAGCTTGTTATGCGGTGTTATTCTATTTGTTGAAGGCCGTACGGTTACTTATAGTTGATATCCCATACTTCATTTGGTCTCAGCTCGTGGAGAGTTGCTTCATTGGCAATCATACCATATCTTCTTATTTTTAAAATGGTTACGACATTACGGTGCGAGGCTATTAGTTTCAATTGTTATTCACGTTACCCCTTGGAGTTCGTTTGTTTTGATATTAATTTATTTACTTTTTCCTATATAGAAATTATTACTAAGCATCGGTTAGGTATACACTAATATATGTTCTGATTGGTTGTCTAATGATATGACTAGAATGATAAACTGGAATCCGCTTGTATTACGCTACACTCAAACAACCGGTACGGACAATACTTTGTTACCTAGCAACGTACAATATCAGAACATGTAAACAAACAGAACAATTTGTTTCCTGATGCATATAAAAGCATAAAATTAATGTGTAAAATAAATTCCTATTCTTAATTTAGCTAATCCATTGCATTACATAAAGAAAAAAAGATCGAAAAGGTATCAGTTTGAAATAAAATAAAATTCCGCCTAACTTCATGAATGATTGTGGCACATCAATGTGATGGTTAAATGTGACGTCATACAAAATGGAAACTTTTGAACTTACGGCTGTTTCGATATGTCAACTAAAGATTTGACAATACATTGTACATGTAAGCCTGTGAAAAAAATTGTTCCATAAAATTGCTGGTATGAAAATAGAATATTCCTTCTGATTTGCTATAGCATATCATGGATGGTAGCATTAAATAAAATTTCATGTTAGCAAAGGAAAGTGTGGTATAATACAAGTCATTTGATTGGACGACTAATCAGATTCTACGATAGATCGGATCTCACTGGCTGTCCATGAACAAAGTGTAGTAGTCCGCCGAGAAACAGCTAACTAGAATGATTTATAGAATTTGGAACCGGTCCCAAACAGAAGGTTTTCAATCCGGAAGATTAGTTATCAAATAACAGTGTGGATATTTAAGACCCGATCAACAATTATTACTTCACATATCTTTTGGATAAATATTGTTTGAGGAGCGCTGAAACATTTATTATCAATATTATACACTGTTGGTTTGATGGCTGCTTACGTAAAAAAAGTTTATACGTGTGTTTTAGAGATTCAAAATCAAGTCACAGCTAGTGGATTAGAATTATTTTGGTCAAATATATTGATAATAGCAGTTTAAATGCTCATCTATTGTTGAATTTATGTGTTGACTTACTCATTTTCAAACTTCGACTTTGATCAATTTAAATGCTGTCTCAATGGTTCATTTGTTCGTATGATAGATATGGTATAACTTAACAAAAACAGGAACCCATTGATATTGTTGAGATTACAGGGTAAACAATGCTGTGCAAATGCGTTTTTAAAGTTTAACCGATATAAGAATGAAATATATTTTCTTAATTTTTTTTTAAAATGTCTGCTTTGTTTATTTTCAGAGGATCCAAACTTTTGGTTTCAAACGTTACACTATTATGGAAATAAAGTCAATACCAGGACCCGTATGGATCCATCAGTTATTTTGGTAGGAACTAAGATCGACCTGTGTCGGGTATGTTTTAGGTCTACCTTTCGACGAAAGGAGCTATTTCGAGTTAGTTTTGTTTCGTCCTCTTCCTCTGGATTTTCCTCATTAATCCTTGTTCGGGTCAAAATTTTGTAATTTTTTATCTATGACGAGTTTATTTACATGGATAATGACACATGGTATGAAAGTGTATTACCATGAGACGGTGTGTCGCATATAATCATGACCTTCATTTGAACTTGAACTTTGACCTCAAGGTAAGAATATTTGATTTGTTTAACATTTTCGTTTCCGGAACATGACCTTTTGAAATCTTTGACATATACCTCTTCATATAATTTTTAGTACAGTTCGACAAGAACTTTCCAGATTCCCAAGCCTACAGTATTTATCTCGTAACTACCCTGATAAGACTTTCTAGTTCACATTTAGCTCTCTGTATATCATTAATTATTCAATTGCTTTAAACTCTTCAGATTCCCTCTTCTAAACCATATATGAGTTTTTAATCATTATGACCTTTCAGTACATTGTAATTCTTTTCGCTGAGTTTGATTCTCCGCTCCCTGATATCGTTGCTTGTTAAAACAAAACTAGTTCAAATCCCTTTACCTTAATCATATAATTGAATACTGCCCTGGCCTTTAAATGCACTATAGTTTTTTTTTAAATGGACTCTAGATTTTGTCTGTTGTGGTCGGCCATGCCACACCGATATATCATGAATAAAAAAATATATTAAAAGAAGATAAGGTTCCAACTCATAAACCATTTATATGTTCCAATTTTGCTTTTGCCATGACAATACCACTTCTGTATTAAAATGTGTTTGTACGGCCTTATCTTAACTTGAGGGATCGCGGGGAAGACATCAATTAAATGTTTCTTTGGTGTTTTTATACACTCTTTTCGTGCAGTTTCATACTACTATAACCGTTTTACCTAGTTTGATATATATAATTATGTGAGTATACTGCAAACAGCTACAAAAACTAAACTATACTGATGACATATAATAGATATTTTGTATTAAAGGATAAGAAGATATGAGTATTCCAAAGGGCACAATACAATATGTAGCAATTTTAGGGTTGGTGGAATATAACGAGTATAAAATAAGATTGATGGTAATCTATATAAATGGTCAGAATTTATCCAGTTTTATGCGACGAGCTTTCGATAAATTTTCGTAGCATATAAAAAAAGAGGCGCAAGATACAAAAGTCATAAATCTTGAGATTGAAAAACACTGAAAACAGTCAACAAATCATAATATAATAAAAACTTATACTGAACACAAACCCAACTAAAAACCAATAGGTGATCTCAGGTGCTAAGGAAGGGTAGGCAAATCTTGCCAAACATTAGTCACACGTCGAGGAGATCACTTATGTACATACTAGTTGATAAGTCTGATTCGTTATGTCGCATTTGAGAAAAAGAGTACAGGATTGCAGTAACGACAATTGAAACATATCCATCGTCAAAAGTATGACTTTAACTTTGCCGCTTGGAACATTTCGTGTATAGGTTCATTCTAAGCAGCAATTTTTTATCAAGGAAATGATAATAGGAAACACAAGCTCTGGAATATCGTATCAACTACTGGAATATATATACTTCATATGCAAGCACTGCTGAAATGTTGCTTCATAAAAATGAAAATTTAACAATTGGGTCACTGAAATCATATTTTGTGTCGTGAATGTTATTCTCAATGCATCGGACCCTCATTGTCAATTTCTAGATTTCGTCAATCAAAAAAGACATTCGATCCGACATGCAAATCACAGACATCAGACTGTTCGAAATAGATATATGAAAAAACAAGAATGTGTCCATAGTACACGGATGCCCTAATCGCACTATCATTTTTTATGTTCAGTGGACCGTGAAATTGGGGTCAAAACTCTAATTTGGCAATAAAATTAGAAAGATCATATCAAAAGGAACATGTGTACTAAGTTTCAAGTTGATAGGACTTCAACTTCATCAAAAACTACCTTGACCAAAAACTTTAACATGAAGCGGGACAGACGGACGGACGGAGGGACGAACGAACGGAGGGACGAACGGACGGACGAACGCTCGGACGCACAGATCAGAAAACATATGCTCATAAATGGGGCATTAAAACACTCAAAACCAAAAACGAAATTGTCTAGATAGCCTGATTTTACAACGGTACACACAAGCGGTGCCTTGTTTAAGCATGCTATGTGGTCGTTTTCGATTTTAGCCATGACACTGTCAGTTTCTCTTCCCTACCGAGTTTTGTAGTCCCGTTTATATTCTCCACCTTTGTTATCCTTGTATGTTTTACCTTCTACACATTAGTATAATATTATGTTGGTTAGTTTTTGCCCGAAGGGAATTACCGACCTAAGTAGATAACTGTTAAAGCTGATCCCATTCTCTTGTTGAAATAAACTTCAAATTGTTAATTTCTCATTTCTAGGCAGTAACATACCTTCCGCGTCTACAAATCCGGGTGTTTCTCGATATGCCTGCATCAACTGCCAGCCTTACAAATCCAAACTCAGTAAAAATAATACAATCGGGAATAGGAGACGATCGGTGAAATTACAGTTAAGACAATTCTGGTATCTAATAATCAGAAAACCTGTTCCTTGTGAGTTGTGAGTTGAGTTGAGTTGAGACAGAGACATATCTTATCAGTCAACCAATTCATAATGTGTCCAGTTTTGTCATTTTGTCTAGTAACTGTTGGTGCAGTTTTTGTGTAAGAACCATTGTCCTGTTAATTAAGTCCATATAAAGTGACCTTAAACAAGCGTTACGTATTACTTGAGGTATGTAACCGATGAGGCGGAGGGTGTATTAATTATTGATGTGAACTGAGAATGAAAAGGGAGTAGATACCAAGGGGGAAATTTAATCTTACAATAATTTAACTTTGGATGTAACGCGTCTTCCGATTGGCTGACGTTGTTTTGTTTATCAGCTCATAGACATAATTTTGTCATGTGACCTTGACGTCATCAACGTTTTTTCATGATTTACTCCGGTTTAAAATGGAATTAAGAATTAGATTATAAGAAATGACTGTAATATTTTTTCTGTCTATTCGAAATAACATAAAAAATGTGGTGCACACTTTAAAATAACCCGCTACGCGGGTTATTCAGTGTGCACAACATTTTTGATGTTATTTCTTCATAGACAGAAAAAATATTACAGTCATTTCTTAAATAAGAAAAAAACTGACAATGTCATTTAAAGAAAAGAAAGACGACGAAAGACAAAAAAATTCCAAGCTAACAATCGGAAAGTCGCATTCATCAAGTTTGTAATTGATTCTAGTTTAAAATCCCTAAACTAAAGTTCTCTGGGGTATATGATATGAACTGAAATGTTGGTTATGGAGTTACTATATATAATCAATATATTTGAAAATAAAATAAAAGAAAATTGTCTTTGAGAAAGTTCTGCAAGAATTCTGCTGGAGTACACAGAATTCATTGTTAAGTGTTATTTTTGCTGAAAGACTACTGGCATGATTTTTAGTTCATATAAGCAATAATTTTTTTTTCCTTAGGGAAATGAACAAGGATCAAAAAAGAAACTTTTTGACAATTGTTGCCGAGAATCATCCTTCAAGAAACATATTCGTGACTTTAGTTTACTTTCAAATACAGATGAAAACAATGAAGAGGTATTTGAAAAATTGCGCCTGAAGATATTTGATTTAGCGAAAAAGTGTCCTTCTTGGGATCAAGAAATACCTGTTAGGTGGATTCATTTAGAGAAGACTCTTTTAAAATTATCAAATGAAAAGCCGATCGTTACCAGGGCTGATGTTATTAAGCTTGGTCTTGAAAATTTAGAACCAATTGAGACAAACGAAGAAGTGGACTTATTCTTAAAATACCATCATGAGACTGGTGATTTTGTCTTTTTTGAGGATATTCAAGAGTACGTAGTGTTGAGCCCACAGTGGTTATCTAATGCTTTTAAATGCATCATAACCTCAGATGAGTTACAAAAAGATTGTGATATTTCATCTTATGTGAAAAATGATTGGGATGATATAAGGAAAACTGGTAAACTATCAAACAGGTTTATTGATCACATACTGGAACAAAACAAACTCTCAATGTATAAGAACCATATTTTGACCATTATGGAAAAATATGATATCATAGTACGATCTTCTTCAGCCTCAGGCCAAGAAAGCTTTTATGTCCCTTGTATGGTTGAAACAACTGCAATTGATCATATTGACTTGATTTTTGATAACAAGTCCAAAACATCTTGTCTTTGTTTCGTATTTGATTTCTTGCCTATGCCCATTTTTAACCACGTACTAGCAGCATGTACAAGACGCTTCAAAATTTCGAAAAAAGAATACGAACCCGTATTTTTTAAAGGAATGTGTTTGTTTGATCTTGATGACTCAGGTTGTGAAAAATTATTTCTACTCATGTATCAAAATGTTATACAGGTACAAGTTTGGAAATGGGAATGTAGTAAAAACAAAATAGAGAAATCATACAGCGGAATAAGAACATTAATCTGCAGTGATATTGAAAGAGCACAAGTCAATCGTTATAAAAGTAACATACCTTATAAAACCCAATTGAAATGCAACATAACACTGTACAGTTGTTTCAAAGGAATGAAGGATCATGATCAACTAAGGAAAATGGAAGAGTATTATTGTGAAGAACATGAGCAGTCACATGATGCAAAGCAAATTTGGACTGATTGGTATGAGGAAGATCCAAAAGAATCACTGGTAAATATTGTAAAAGTATAATTAGTGTTTATCTTTGTTATTGTTTCAGTTTAATATATTCTATGTAATTTAGTTTGGCATTCTCTAGCTGAAGAATTGAAGTTTTCCTAGATGGTACCTGAAGGTTTTTCTACCGACAAAACTGCTTGTTTTTAACTAGATTTGTGTCTTCTTAATGGATCAATGAGATTTAAACATCGGTAAACTAATGTTGTCTTAAATTTACAAGGAAAAAGATTGCACTTTCTATTGCAACATCGTTTGTTACGTTCATTTTGATTGGAAAACGTCACTTATTTTCATGGCATCAATACAATTGATGCTATAAAAATGTACGCGCAAGCGCACACGACGTATGACAGATTTAAAATGAATGTTTTAACGTTGTTTTCTATCAGTTTTATTAGAATGGAGATAACAATATTGTATTTTAAGCTCCGACGGCATCAATTGGTGATTTGATGGTCGCAAATACCCGTTTACTGGCTCCGCTAACGCGTCGCCAGTAAATTTAATTTTCGACCATCAAATCACCAATTGATGCCGTCGGAACTTAAAATACAATACAATTATCTCCTAAATGCAACACAGCTGATACCGGAATTATGAGAAGAACATTTTTCCTTAATTTCAGTCACTGAGCAGGAACACTAAATTTAACAGGCAAAGCAAGTTATCTGACTTTACTTAGCTCATGACCAGCTCATGACTATCTATGTAACATTTCTCTAAATCCATTCTCTTCCATTAATACCTTTAAGTTTAAAGTTTTGTAAACATTTTAGAGATAAAATCTGTCAGATACAAGCATACCTTGATTGGTATAATAGAAAATACAGAGAAATATAACTTTGAAGATAAACTGGAGAAGACAAAATGTAGTGGGGGTTGATTTGATTCTTCTAACGCTATAAAAAAAAAACAAGATATATATTTAAGGCTTTATTCCGGACTTTTATTTCAGATCGACTTGAACCATAGGCACATCAATTTCACAAAAATGGGAATTATAACCTTGGATGTACTAGCAGATGCTCTTTACGACCTTATTCTTGTAGCTGATCCGAATTTCACAACACCTAGAAGTGAATGTGATATTTCTAAACTGTACGAAATACACAGAAACAAAATGAATGTCTTCATTCCAAGCCGCGGGAGGTGGGGAGGTCAATGGGTAGATTTAAATACAAATGCAACAGCTCCAGGAGACGATATAGAACGTATTAGATTGACCAGGAATGAGCTTCAACATTCAAGCAAATTTGAGCTACAAGATGCACGATTTTTCCAACTCTGCAACCTACATAAAAAGGTTTTGGGTAGATTTGAAACAAAAAATAATGTTTTTGATTATGTCCAGCGGTTTGAAATCATACTCAACAAGAAGATAGCATTTCTGGACTGGAAAAGATGCAAAGAAAACATTATTTTTGGTGAGTAAAATATGCCACAGATAACTTTATAAATATCTTTGACAGCAGGCACCTGACATTTACCACATATACATAGTTCATTGGTCGACGTTTATTTTTCTTGCTTATGTCACTTTTTCTGTTACTATCAGTCTTGAACATGCATGAAATATTTGTCACTTGACATTAAGCAAACATCGATTAATCATTTATACAAATACAAAGTTAACTGTTTTGGTCCATCCTTTTAATTTAGCATAACTTTAGATACAATATTTGATTGACATTTAGAATGTAGGTGTGTGGTAAATATTTTTGTCTATGTCATTTTGATTAAGGACGTATTTTAACTTATTAACGGCAAACCTGATTGACAGTTTTAGTCACACTTAATGCATCTAGTACCATTCAATGAAAGTGTCCCATCGCGTTCAGCCATAGACATAAGAAGATGTGGTATGAGTGCCAATGAGACAACTCTCCATCCAAGTCACAATTTGTAAAAGTAAACCATTATAGGTCAGGGTACGGTCTTTAACACGGAGCCTAGGCTCACAACGAACAGCAAGCTATAAATGGCCCTAAAAATTACTAGTGTAAAGCCATGTAGGACAGGTGCAAACAAATGCAGCGGGTTTAAACGTTTTAATAGGTACCAACCTTCACCCTTAACTGAAACAATAGTGAAACATCACAACATAGAAAGACACACTATAAAATATCAATTGAAATGGCTTAACTTAATCAAAAGACATATTAACACAAACAAGTGAATATACACTGAACGAATAAATTTGATCTATGAGACTATGAAACAATGTATATACAGAGATTTATTATGTAAATTGAATGTTTTTGAATTGTGTATTGAGTATTGACAGTTTTCCTTTACGTTGATTTATTTACTTCTAATGCAATAGAGAACCTCAAATTCGATTTCGATTATTTTATAGAAATGAAAGTTTTTTACTCCCTTTTAACTTTTATAGAAAATAGAAGCTTGTTCTTTATCAAACCGGTGGCACAGAGACACAGGTCTTAGTTTTGGCATTTTCGTCCATTTTATGAAACTACTCTGAAACAGTTAACAAAAAAAGCTTTGGACAATAACATGCACAAATGCCAACATTGTTTTTGAGGAATGACGTAAAATTGTTGATCTATTTTAATATAGACTATTTTATTTTGAAATCCATCAAGTTTTAATATGTTTACGCTGTGAGTACAGCATATACAGGAAAAATGCAATTAGAGCCTTATTCGGTCCCTCACTTTCCATAATGTCTTTTTGTAACAACTTACCCGTTAATTTCTTGATAATGCGCACAATTTGGTTCCTGGCACTTTTTAAAGCACGGGTAACAAGTAGTCATGACCAAGGTATTTTTGACGAAATTGTCAGCTTGCGAACTAGTTACCATAAAGTATGATGTAGATACAGAGTTGTATGTTCACTGCAATTTTGCAGATGCATTAAACTGTACAGGGCTCTCAAAACATACGAAGGAGCAAAATGCATCACTCAACTTCAGGAAATTAATACAACATTTGGTGATTCTTATAAAAACATGAAATAAAATAACAAAAGTTCGTACTTTATTTGTCATTTTTAACTTTTTTATGCCCCCGCCGTGGCGGAGGGAGAATTAAGTTTTACCCTTGTCCGTTCGTACGTACGTACGTACTAAAGTTTGTTTCCGTTCTCTAACTGTAGTTTGCCTCAACCAAATGTTATGACACTTATACACGATGTTTATTACCACAGAACACAGATCAAGATTGAATTTCTGTGGCGTCACTTCAACCGTTCTAGAGTTATGTCCCTTTACAAATGAAAAAACTGATGAATTTTTCGTTACTGTTCTCTTACTTTAGTTTGCCTCTACCAAATGTTATGAAACTTATACACAATGTTTATTACCACAAAACACAGATCAAGTTTGAATTTCTGTGGCTTCACTTTAACCGTTCTAGAGTTATGCCCCTTTACAAATGGAAAAATTGATGATTGTTTTGTTTCCGTTCTCTAGCTTTAGTTAGCCTCAACTAAATGTTATGAAACTTATACACACAATGCTTCTTACCACACAATACAGATCAAGTTTGAATTTTGGGGGTGTCACTTCTACTGTTCTAGAGTTTACAAATGGAAAAATTGCTGAATTTTTTTTTCCGTTCTCTAACTTAAGTTTGCCTAAACCAAATTTTATGAAACTTAAACACAATACTTATTACCACAAAACTCTGATCAAGTACAAAATTGGGTAGCATCGCTTTTACCGTTCTTCATTTATGTCCCTTTAGAACTTGATATGATATGCAAGCGGGGGCATCATCTGTGTCCCATGGACACATTCCCCATTTATTTTTTTATTCGAGCGTCGCTAAGGAGTTTTTTGTAGACGAAACACGCGTAAAAATATTTTAAGTGTGGTATCTATGACGGATATATTTGATCAGCATTCTTGAATATTTAATTAAATTCGACGGAATATGTTTATTTGACATATAGTTATTATTTCTTTCCATTTTGTGGGTTTTTTTTTCACACATTCCTTATCCGATCATATTCTTTCTTTCTAGCTTAAATTTTAAGCTTTTGATCTGGATCAGAATAAATATCTGAGTTTAATTAGCATATAATAAGTGTTTATATAAGTATCAAGTTATCAGTCTTATTTAATACCAATTTCAGTCTGTGCAAAGTTACAACTACCAAGTTCTATAACTGCTTCTAAAGGATGTGGATGCACCATCAACTGCGAGATTAATTCACGTTTACCCTCTGAGTCCAGAATATGCTGGTTCAAGGACCACAACGGCGTAGATGAACCTGTGATTGTCGACAGTATAAAGTATCATGGTTCAACAATAGAATTTCCATCCTTGGTTATTTCAAATGCAGACAAATGTGATGAAGGATTCTATGCCTGTCGAATCATGTACCCGACTGACTATCAGTACGAAGAAGATACTGAAACAGTAGTATGGCCCAAAACATACCTGCACGTTAACAATCAATGATAAACATTAAACAAAATCAGTCTGTTAAATCATGAAAATTATGTTAAAGATTAAATGTTTAGAAAATATTTGTTTCAAAAAAGGCAAAAAATGTGTACCATTTTGTAGTATATGTAGTTTTTGACATTGATAGTATTGTTTTTTTAATGCTATTTGTGTGTGTCAACTCGTTGATATCTTCACTGAATCGTGTTGTTAAGATATTCATCTAATATTTGATGATGCAACCCTGCCCCAGTATACGACGTCATATTAGTTTAGGCATCAATGTAATACCTAATGCAACTTGTAATTAGATTTTTACTTGCAACGAGCATTATCACAGGGACATCAGTTGGAAACATGTTTACCCTTTGGGAAAAAACAATGTTGAACGTGGCAAATGTTTCATGCATAAACATTGCGAGGACAAACATGCAATAAAGACGACAGGTCGGTTCTGATGTAGGTTGATCTGGATGACATGCATAAGATGTGAACTGTCACTTGTCAGTATGAGTATTTTGGATAGGGTTAGACATTTTGCCTTGCAACTGGCAACCTACGGACCGCTACGCGTGCATCAGATTTAACGTCCCATTTCGACTGCACGTGGATGCGTTTTTAAATAGCCCGAATGGACAAACGGGTGGCCCACTTAAACGAGGGTTTTACTGCCGGACAAAAGAAATTAAATGATGACCATATTTCTATATCCCAATCATGTCTTGGTTTTTTTTATTGCAGAGGGGGCTAGGATTGTATGGCAGTTTACCGCAAAAGACATGATTCTGATTTAAGTGTACTCGATATATGTCTCTGACTTTAAAACTTCATCAAACATGTGGACGTCAAAAACTTGTGAAGACATGATGATATCGGTTTAAGTGTATTCGACATGTGACTCTGACTTTAACTTCATAACACGTGGACGTCATAAATGTACCTCAAATACGTTAACGTCATACAATTTGAAGCCATCATATCGATTTAGGTGTAAACAACATAATCATGTTTCTGATATAATGTACATTAAACACGGGGCATTCAAAGATTTTTGAAGCTACGATACCGATTTAAGTTTACTCAAAATGTGAATGACTTTAAATTTATCAAACACGTGGACGTCAATAATTGACATGATATCGATTTAAATGTACCCGCCATGTCTCTCTGACTATAACTTTATTAAGGGCCAAGTGAGCTATTTTTTTTTATCTCTTATCGTCAATTGTCCGTTGTTGTCCTTTAACTTTTACAAAAATATTCTCCTCTGAGACTACTAGGCCAAATTTAACTAAGCTTGGTCACAATCATTATAGTGACATCTAATATAAACCAAAATGTGACCGATGACCTCGTCTTGCCACCAAAATGCCTAAAAATAAAACATAGACGTTTGGTATATAACATTGAATAGTTAGTGCACTTTTGAAAATTCAACTGAATAACCAATAAACCTTTTTTTTTCAATTACTTTTATTTATATTTATTAATTAATACATGACTTAGGACAGTTCCGCGTTTAATATTTCATCTTTTCTTATGAACGTTGTAAAAACGCATTTGACTAGCAGGTCGAACAACGGATGTTCTTAAACCCTGCTGACTTCCATGGCGATTGCCAAATAAACGGATCACAAGGTGTAATAAATGGATCATAACTATAGTATTAAATTTATAATTAAGATCCATTTATTACATCTATGATCCGTTTATTTGTCAATCGCCAATGGCAGTCAGCAGGGTTTAAGAACATCCGTTGTTCGACCTGCTAGTCAAATGCGTTTTGTTAAAATATACTTTTTCACTTTATTTGGTCTTTTGGAAAATGTTATATATATATGTATATATATATATATATATAGATATAAGAAGATGTGATATGAGTGCCAATGAGTATGGCGTACTTGACTCAAGCTAGCGAACAATTGTAGCGAACAATTAGCCAGCGAACAATTAGGAGGTATAACTAAAAACCACAATTTCACATAAGACAATCACGTTTTTTTCGAGCTAGCGAACAATTACAGAGACCTAGCGGACAATTATGAGAATTTTCAAAATATAAAACAAAATCGAATAAAAAAAATTAAAACAAAAGGGATACCATAAAGATTTTGACCAATTTATAGAGATTGTGACAGGCAACGACTGTAAAGGTAACATAGAGGAGACATTATCGTATCTAATAAGACAAACTCCAGAATGGTTTATGTTTAAAAATCTGAAATTAAGTTTAAAAAACTTAAATTGTAAAAACGAAAAGGGAGGAGGGGGCATACATTAAGTTGATTGTTGACCCATTTATAGAGATTGTGACGGTACACGACTGCATAGGTGATGCAGCTGAGACATTAGCGTATCTATTAAGACAAACTCCAGGATGGTTTATGTTAAAAAATCTGAAGTTAGGTTGAAAAAATTGTAAATAAAAACGAAAAGGGGGAAATCTTTAGTTGATTGTCGACCCATTTAGAGAGATTGTGACGGGCAACGACTGCCTAACATCAACTATAGGCAGTCGTTGCCCGTCACAATCTCTACGGTTAAAAAACTGAAATTGTGAAATTGACAAAATGAGATTAAGGGGGTAGGCCAATTTAAGTTAATTTTGGACCAATTTGAAGAGATTGTAACGGGCAACGACTATATAGGTGTTGTAGAGGGGACGACATTGGCACATCGTCTAAGAAACTCTACAGAGTGGTTTATGTTCGAAAATCCGAAGTTACGGTTAAAAAACTGAAAATTTTATTGTGAAATTGTCAAAATGAGATTAGGGGGTAGGGCACTAAAAGAAAAATTTATACCATTTCAAAGAGATTGTTACGAGCAACGACTATATAGGTGTTGTAGAGGGGACATTGGCGCATCGTTTAAGAAAATCTCCAGAGTGGTTTATGTTCGAAAATCTGAAGTTACGATTAAAAAACTGAAAATTTTATTGTGAAATTGACAAAATGAGATTAGGGGGGTAGGGCAATTTAAGTTAATTTTGGACCAATTTTAAGAGATTGTGACGGGCAACGACTACATAGGTGTTGTAGAAGAGACAATGGCGCATCGTTTAAGAAAATCTCTAGAGTGGTTTATGTTCGAAAATCTGAAGTTACGGTTAAAAAACTGAAACTTTTATTGTGAAATTGACAAGATGAGATTAGGGGGTAGGGCACTAAAAGAAAAATTTGGAACATTTTAAAGAGATTGTGACGGGCAACGACTATATAGGTGTTGTAAAGGAGACATTGGCGCATCGTTTAAGAAAATCTCCAGAGTGGTTTATGTTCGAAAATTTGAAGTTACGGTTAAAAAACTGAAATGGTGAAATTGACAAAATGAGATTAGGGGGGTAGGGCAATTTATGTAAATTTTGGACCAATTTCAAGAGATTGTGACGGGCAACGACTACATAGGTGTTGTAGAGGAGACAATGGCGCATCGTTTAAAAAAATCTCCAGAGTGGTTTATTTTCGAAAATCGGAAGTCACGGTAAATAACTGAAATTGCGAAATTGACAAAATGAGATTAGGGGGGTAGGGCACTAAAAGAAAAATTTGGACCATTTTAAAGAGATTGTGACGGGCAACGACTATATAGGTGTTGTAGAGGAGACATTGGCGCATCGTTTAAGAAAATCTCCAGAGTGGTTTATGTTCGAAAATCTGATGTTACGGTTAATAACTGAAATTGTGAAATTGACAAAATGAGATTAGGGGGATAGGGCACTAAAAGAAAAATTTGGACCAATTTCAAGAGATTGTGACGGGCAACGACTATATAGGTATTGTAGAGGAGACATTGGCGCATCGTTTAGGAAAATCTCCAGAGTGGTTTATGTTCGAAAATCTGAAGTTACGGTTAAAAAACTTAAAATTTTATTGTGAAATTGACAAAATGAGATTAGGGGGGTAGGGCACTAAAAGAAAAATTTGGACCATTTTAAAGAGATTGTGACGGGCAACGACTATATAGGTGTTGTAGAGGTGACATTGGCACATCGTTTAGGAAAATCTCCAGAGTGGTTTATGTTCGAAAATCTGAAGTTACGGTTAAAAAACTTAAAATTTTATTGTGAAATTGACAAAATGAGATTAGGGGGGTAGGGCACTAAAAGAAAAATTTGGAACATTTTAAAGAGATTGTGACGGGCAACGACTATATAGGTGTTGTAAAGGAGACATTGGCGCATCGTTTAAGAAAATCTCCAGAGTGGTTTATGTTCGAAAATTTGAAGTTACGGTTAAAAAACTGAAATGGTGAAATTGACAAAATGAGATTAGGGGGGTAGGGCAATTTATGTAAATTTTGGACCAATTTCAAGAGATTGTGACGGGCAACGACTACATAGGTGTTGTAGAGGAGACAATGGCGCATCGTTTAAAAAAATCTCCAGAGTGGTTTATGTTCGAAAATCGGAAGTCACGGTAAATAACTGAAATTGCGAAATTGACAAAATGAGATTAGGGGGGTAGGGCACTAAAAGAAAAATTTGGAACATTTTAAAGAGATTGTGACGGGCAACGACTATATAGGTGTTGTAAAGGAGACATTGGCGCATCGTTTAAGAAAATCTCCAGAGTGGTTTATGTTCGAAAATTTGAAGTTACGGTTAAAAAACTGAAATGGTGAAATTGACAAAATGAGATTAGGGGGGTAGGGCAATTTATGTAAATTTTGGACCAATTTCAAGAGATTGTGACGGGCAACGACTACATAGGTGTTGTAGAGGAGACAATGGCGCATCGTTTAAAAAAATCTCCAGAGTGGTTTATGTTCGAAAATCGGAAGTCACGGTAAATAACTGAAATTGCGAAATTGACAAAATGAGATTAGGGGGGTAGGGCACTAAAAGAAAAATTTGGACCATTTTAAAGAGATTGTGACGGGCAACGACTATATAGGTGTTGTAGAGGAGACATTGGCGCATCGTTTAAGAAAATCTCCAGAGTGGTTTATGTTCGAAAATCTGATGTTACGGTTAATAACTGAAATTGTGAAATTGACAAAATGAGATTAGGGGGATAGGGCACTAAAAGAAAAATTTGGACCAATTTCAAGAGATTGTGACGGGCAACGACTATATAGGTATTGTAGAGGAGACATTGGCGCATCGTTTAGGAAAATCTCCAGAGTGGTTTATGTTCGAAAATCTGAAGTTACGGTTAAAAAACTTAAAATTTTATTGTGAAATTGACAAAATGAGATTAGGGGGGTAGGGCACTAAAAGAAAAATTTGGACCATTTTAAAGAGATTGTGACGGGCAACGACTATATAGGTGTTGTAGAGGTGACATTGGCACATCGTTTAGGAAAATCTCCAGAGTGGTTTATGTTCGAAAATCTGAAGTTACGGTTAAAAAACTTAAAATTTTATTGTGAAATTGACAAAATGAGATTAGGGGGGTAGGGCACTAAAAGAAAAATTTGGAACATTTTAAAGAGATTGTGACGGGCAACGACTATATAGGTGTTGTAAAGGAGACATTGGCGCATCGTTTAAGAAAATCTCCAGAGTGGTTTATGTTCGAAAATTTGAAGTTACGGTTAAAAAACTGAAATGGTGAAATTGACAAAATGAGATTAGGGGGGTAGGGCAATTTATGTAAATTTTGGACCAATTTCAAGAGATTGTGACGGGCAACGACTACATAGGTGTTGTAGAGGAGACAATGGCGCATCGTTTAAAAAAATCTCCAGAGTGGTTTATGTTCGAAAATCGGAAGTCACGGTAAATAACTGAAATTGCGAAATTGACAAAATGAGATTAGGGGGGTAGGGCACTAAAAGAAAAATTTGGACCATTTTAAAGAGATTGTGACGGGCAACGACTATATAGGTGTTGTAGAGGAGACATTGGCGCATCGTTTAAGAAAATCTCCAGAGTGGTTTATGTTCGAAAATCTGATGTTACAGTTAATAACTGAAATTGTGAAATTGACAAAATGAGATTAGGGGGATAGGGCACTAAAAGAAAAATTTGGACCAATTTCAAGAGATTGTGACGGGCAACGACTATATAGGTATTGTAGAGGAGACATTGGCGCATCGTTTAGGAAAATCTCCAGAGTGGTTTATGTTCGAAAATCTGAAGTTACGGTTAAAAAACTTAAAATTTTATTGTGAAATTGACAAAATGAGATTAGGGGGGTAGGGCACTAAAAGAAAAATTTGGACCATTTTAAAGAGATTGTGACGGGCAACGACTATATAGGTGTTGTAAGGAGAAATTGGCGCATCGTTTAAGAAAATCTCCTGAGTGGTTTATGTTCAAAAATCTGAAGTTACCGTTAAAAAACTGAAAATTTTATTGTAAAATTGACAAAATGAGATTAGGGGGTAGGGCAATTTAAGTTAATTTTGGACCAATTTTAAGAGATTGTGACGGGCAACGACTATATAGGTGTTGTAGAGAAGACAATGGCGCATCGTTTACGAAAATCTCCAGAGTGGTTTATGTTCGAAAATCGGAAGTT